CTTATTTGGATTTGGTCTGATCATTTGGCAGTCCGTAATTGCTGAAGCTTGGCTGCTTGTGATTGGTTGAGACCCAGTAATCTATTACAACAAATAGATTTCAGTTTGTTTACATATTAAGTTAGGTTACAGTTCATTACATAGGGCTCAAGATACAGAGACGGCCTCAGGACAAATTTAAGTTAATTTAACAGCAACTACCACTCACTAAAGAAAAAGTATGGTATAGAGTCAGGAATAAAAAGTGGGAATCCAGAATCTTAAAGTTGTGACATTTAACAGGCTTGCTGTGCAACTTTATGAAGATCTATGCAAATGTTATGAGACAATAATCATATCTGAATAGGGCTGAAGTGATTTGGGCATGGGGAGATAGAATAGGAATAGCTTGCCTGTAACAGGGTCTAAAATATTTTGGTTCAAGGATTTGTCACCAAAAGCAAAACAAAATTGCCACTCGACTAATATGTTTTTATAGGTGTAGATATCCTCCACCCAAACTCAATAGGTTTGGAGTGCTCAAACTCTGCAAATTACAAAGAATGTTATAATATTCTAGGGAGATAACCTATATGCTCTTGGGATATCCTGCCTGATAAAACTGTCTGACAGAGATAGGATAGGATGTCCTATATCCCTATAAAACCGGTATAATAAGGTGTCTTGGGGATCCCCAAGACCACCCACAGTTTCAATGATTTTCTAAAAGGACTCACAGAACTGAGAAAAGCTGTTATATTCATGTTATCATTTATTACATGAAAGGTTACAGATTAAAATCAGCAAAGACAAAAAATACAGTAAGAAGAGTCCAGGAGAGACCAAGCACAAACTTCCAGTTATGCTCTTTTAGTGGAATCATACAGAGTACTTAATCCTCCCAGAAACAATGTGTGACAAGAGGATGAAGTATTGCTAACCAGGAAAGCTCGCCCAAGTTTTGGTGTTCAGGGTTTTTGTAGGGGTCAGTCACATAGATATAGAATGTTCCCATGACTGACCTTAACTACTCTGCCTCTAGTATACCCAAAGCTCAAACTGATAAGGCATGTCCCAGAGCCTCCAAGTGAACAAAACCACACATTCACCATAAATCACACTGTTAGCATAAAATACCTGGTGTGACCCTTGGCCCCCAGTATACAGACAGTTTTATCAGGCAGGATATTCCAAGGGCTTATAGATTATCTCCCTATAACATTATAATATTCTCTGTAATATGCAGAGTCTGAGCACCCCAAAACTGTTGAGTTAACCGTTTACTACACCACACAGTGATGAAAAATTTCTTTGTCCCAATGTCTCACATTTCACAGACATTTTACCTGCTACTGCCAACTTAAGTAACTCAGGTGTTGTTCTGTTGATTTATCTCCTGCCGAGCAACGATTAATGACTTACCGGTTAGTTCTCAAGGGAAAAAGGTCCATACCTCTTTAGGTAGCCTTAAATGTTCATTACCTGAGGGCAGGGTCCCTGGATTTCAAGTGCCAGGTGAATTGAAGTTCCCAGCCTACAGAAGTGCTAGATACAGACTGAATATCCCTTACCCAAAATGCTCGGGACCAGAAGCATGTTCGATTTTGGATATTTCCAGATTTTGGACTATTTGAAGAATATATACCTGTTGAGCATCTCTAATCCAAAAAATCTGAAATCGAAAATGCTCCAGTGAGCGTTTCTTTTGAGTATCATGTCAGTGCCCAAAAAGTTGGATTTTAGAGCATTTTAGATATCAGATTTTGGGATTAGAGATGTTCAACCTGTACATTTGTTTTGAAAGAACAAATAATGAATGAACCTTCCACTTTTAAAATTAATTCTTATGTCTAACATGAGTCTCTCATTCTATCTCTGCCAACAAGTTGAATTTTTAAACTACGCTTCAAGGTTAGGTCAAATTCCACTCCGGTCATAAAGCCTCCTGAAGCCTTCACAGTAGGAATTGATGCTTTATCTTTTGTGTTCTCATAATTTAATTTATTTCTGAGATGCACTTACCATATTCCACCTTGCATTATAGTTGATTGTGAGTGTATCTTTTTACGAAACTAGATGTTGGCTTTTAAAGACAGAGACCTTGACTCACCCATCTTTACAGTACCTAGAATTCCTACCCTAATGTGTTGCTTCAGGTTATTAAATAAAATTGAATATGCAATTACTTAATCATAATTTCTACAAGGTCATATTACCAGGCTAAAATGGAGCCAAAGAAAATGTAACTAATGTCTACAAATTTCTAATTGTTGAACTCTGTCTGAATTTCAGAATAGTGGTATTATAAGCTTTCAAATTAGAGTAAATGAAAGTAGATTAGACCAAGCACACAAGAACAGAGTGTACAGAACAGCTGTACTGTGTCCTCAATGGGATAAGCTAAATTATAATTATAGATATGTTTCATCTTTCCTGCCTGTGTACTCTTTTGAAGATGCTCTCAGCTTCAGAGCTTGGGGATTTATTTGTCACTATAAGTCTGAAATTAGTTTGATTAGTTTTGCTGATCTCTATCATCTCAAAATATCTGAAATCTACCTTATAAGTGAAAACTGGCAAGAATATTAGTGGCAGTACCTCAATTTATGTACACATCAGGATGCTAAAGTTTAACACGTGCAGCAGGACTAGAGACACTCCCTTTACGAAGGCTCCCACATATGTAGAAGTGATTGAGGTTGTAAATGGGTCTCAGAAATTAAGAGCCAAAAAGTTAATTTCAAATAAATATTCTCTTGGTTATAAGGAGAACCTCTTTGCTTATTCTTACAAATTCTTATCTTTTTGTGTCATTTTTCTTTCCTCTTCTGTTTTTCCTTATATGTTCTCAGATTTTATCATCCTTATCTTCTGCATAATCTGGGTTTATTAACAATATTTTTAATAAACCATGTGTATAGCACTTTTCTATGAATGGCAAACATGACCACCAAGAGGTTTATTTAAACTTAATAAAATTTCATAAAGCTAGTGCTCAGTGTTGTACCATAGTTATTTTCTTTAAGTATAAAAATAAGTAAGATAGAGTTTCTACTGTATAGCCTACAGAAAACAACCTTAGGACAATGATTTTTTGTGGTTATAATAGGGCAATGTATAAAGGGCTATGGAAACACAGTTGGGAAAGAGGTTAGTTTTTCAAGGGAAAATAAAAGTTTCAGAGTTGAGGTAATAAGGGAATTCAAGGAGGAGGGAGATGTGGAGTAACGGCATGTTTAGGGAATACTACACAGTGTTTACCACAATAGATTAGAACCAATAATCTTCCTCACCAATGCGGTTAGAAAGGATATAGCTTAATAAGGAACTTTTGAGCATATTTTTAAAAATATCATTATACATTAAATATGATTGAGAAGGTAAGATGAATAATACACTGTTAATGTTTTTCTCATACAGACATAGACAAAACTCTTAATTTTGAAGAGTACCTCTGTTGGTAACACACCTCTCTATTTACAGGAGAATGTTGAAGGAGGAGACTGCAGTCGTTGCAAATCTGGCTTCTTCAATTTGCAAGAGGATAATTGGAAAGGCTGTGATGAGTGTTTCTGTTCAGGCGTTTCAGATAGATGTCAGAGCTCCTACTGGACCTATGGCAGTGTAAGCAACCGCTGTTTCATTCTGTATGCTGCTTCACAGGCCTTCTTTGTTGCTGCTATTATATGAAAGTTTTAAAAACTTTTGTTCTTATAGTGAACGTCTACATAAAGTTATCATGAAGAAATGATGGCAGTTTCCTCAAATGCTATTTCTATGTTTATGCTAAAAGCCTTTGAGGTTTTGTTTGTAACAGTGTGTAGATACTAGCATTTTCAGTGTCAATGATTAGTATGTGAAACAATAATGGATTTAATGTGGTTTCAACCCAAAGGGCACATGATTTAATAGAGAAAACATGAGATCGTGATATGAAGAATTGCATTTTCCATTCACCAATAGTTGTTGTATACAAGTTAACAAACACTCTTTTATCATTTACATGCATAATACATATTAACCACCAGGGTTTAGTTACTATTTGATGCTCCCTGGGCTCTTTCATTGTTAAAGGGGAAACTAAATTTGAACTTTACCTTCATTTTAAGTTGATTTGAAAAATTCTAAATTATTATCTAGACTAAATTAGTAGTAACTGGGATTTTCTGCCTTTAACATAAACATGTTTACGTTTTTATCTCTACTACCCACACTCCCTACTGCCTTTTCAACTCTGCAAAGAGCATTTTGTCTCCCTATAAAAGAGATATGAGAGGAAAACAGAACCTTCAGGGAACTTCAGATGCATCCTTTGTGGCTGGACTTAAGAGTGCAGAGTGGTAGGAAGCAGGCTGGAGAGAGAGAAGCCTGGAGGGGCAGTGAGAAACTAGAGCTTATAGGGTTGAGTATGCTGAGAAGTTGGGACATTCTACTTGGAGAATCTTTGAAGGATTTTAAGCAGAAGAGTGACATGACCAGAGTTGTGTTTTGCAAAGACTGATATTTCAATAAACTATCTCCCAAACATTGCTTCCTTTCAACTCAATCAGTTAACTAATCCTGAGCCCAATAATATAAAATGTTCTTCTCTGCCTGTATTGCTTTTCAGTCAAGTCTGAAATATTATGGGTAGTTTATGATTGTACTCTCAAATCTAAATTTGAATCTATGTGCATACATTATCAAATGTATTGTTTTTGGAGCAGTCTTCAAAGAATCAACCACAAAATAGACATCTAGTCTAACTTCCTCATTTTGTTTATAGAGTCCCATCCCACCCTCAAGACTGCTTATTGATATATCAAAGTTTCATAGCTAGCCAAGGATCAGAGCTGGTACTCAAGCTTTGGTCTTCAGAAAGTAGGTCCACTGAATCCCATTCATCTGTCTTAGAATGCCTGAAGGGTGACATTGGAAAAGGAAGCAGAAGCAGGAATATATTACTTATCATCTAGCAAGCCAGTAAGTTTTTACCTGGCCTCTATTTCTCCTTTAACCAAGGCAATCTCAGTGATTTCATAGCTTTTAGATAAGCAGAATCAAATAATCTCCACATGAAAAAATTTTAAAAATATCTCAGCCACATATGTCACCATTACCATTCTTTTCCCCATCACCCACAACACCCAGCAGCTCACACGTGTCTTGTAGGACCCTGGTAGCTGGCAGCCTAAAACCTCAGTAACCAGTTCTGTCCTCACTAGGTAGGATGGTTTAGATTAGAAATGTAGCTGTATGCCTGACCTTGGCTGGAGTATGAAGATGTAAAAGTAAATCATTATGCATTCCTTCATTCCTCCTTTAAGGTTCCTTCCATTTCTGGGCCAGGGATCTGGGTTATGGGTCCTCACAGCACTTATGACCCTGTTTGAAGGAATACATACAGTATTGTGAGGTGTTGTCATAGCAACAGGCTGGTGGATTCAGATGTCCTTACGCCTCAAAGTCGAAATTTTAAAAAGTGAGAGGGGAAGAAATATTGATTGAAAAGCCACCTTTCAGGTGCTTGCATATTTTATTTCTTTTTTTCCTCTGCTTCACAAATACATATATAACTGTTTTGAAATATTTTTTCCACAAGCAAAAAGAAATTACTAGTGGAATGAAAAATAGGAAATTCAAAATCCA